TAAATAAAATAATTCGAAAAACTAATCAGGAATAACCTTTGTGTTTTGATTTATATTGAATACTTACACTGAACTGCGGTCAAGCTTAGCGAAAGGTCGTGCAACATAATCAGTCAAACATACTTTATTAGATTAACTCGTTAAGGAACGATCGTTTTCATTGGTCAATTCAAACCTTCGACCTCACACCTACGAAAATAGAACACGCGTACTATAAAGCTGAATGGACTGATCAGTATTCACGTAGCCGGTCAAGATCGTTAAAAACTTCCATCGTCGTATTCCCGAACATGATTGTGTTCTTGATTATCGCATGGCAATTCTAGCTTTTATACATGTGCATGTAAAATTTTAAACTTTAATCTTAACAGTCACGTCGAAATATTTAATTCAACTGTATCCTCTCAATTGGTCCTGGATTAAGGGAGCTACCATTTTATTTTGATTGGGGGTGAAGGACTTGGATGAAACATTTTGTCCTGCATTTTTTTTAGTTGTTATCTCTGTCCTGTCTTTCTATTTTTCAGTCTGTTAGGTCCTGACTATATTTATTCGTTTATCCTGATTTTTTACATAAATCGTCATCCTGCCTTTTTTTGTCAATTAAGTTGCTCACCCTGCCTTATCTTTTATTCAATGGACTTGATGAATTAACGTTGTACTTGAAATGAAACCGTACTTAACTACAAAAATAACCAAATTACATACTAAAGATATTGCTCGATTTTTATAGTAAATGGGTTTGTGTTATAAACTGTCATGTTCATTATTCATATTCTTTCATAAGTTTTAGGATAGTGTGATTTTTTTTCTGATTTAGTTTACTTGATTTTGAAAAAAAAATCCCGAAATTCTAAGTAAATTCTGAACATGTAACCAGCCATGCTTTGTTTAGAGAAAAAATGGAGATGGCAAACCATGGCACAGTGGAAGGAAATGTACTTTATAAACTCCAGCGATATACTTTCTTAATTTATAATTAACTGTTTTGCTATCCTAGGTTGAAAATTATATATTGTAAATATTTAAATAGTTGCAAAGAAAACAATCAGTTTTAAACAGTGTGGTTATTCACTAAATGTATTGATAAAAGGTGACTCCATTTTTGTACATACTTTTACAGTAGTCATCCTTATAATTTCTTAATATTTCGTTTATAAGTTTATCATACATGTATGATTTTGTATTTCATTTTAATACGCACGCATGCCACACGTTACTTTGGCGGATTGTTCAACAATGTTATGCAAAGCTCTATTCTTACGGTATGAAATTAAAGGATAAATTTTCAACCAATCAAAATCGAAAACAGTACATTTATATAGTTCCTTATAAACTACGACATTTCTCACAAGTATTTATTTATTTTTTAGTTCCACAAATGAAAAAATAAAATCTTCGCCGATGAAACATTTCAAACCTTTTTACACCAACATGCCTTCACTGAATTCATTTGAATTTCGTGGTGACCATGATAGTACATTGCATAGTACATCTATATTCACGTGCACACATGGTACGATCTTTCGGGGACAATTTGCTCGTTTATGACACGTCATTTCTGAATGACCAAACGCTTAGCTTCTTTATTTTCGTTTTATAGCATGAAAACAATAAAAGAGGAATGTGCAACCCATCATAAATTTGAAATGGATCAGTATTATGAGATCCGTATTATAAGTAACTACGACATTGTCAGGATAATAACCTAGCGTCAATATGAAAGAAATTAAAGTGGTTCATACATTCATCCGTATAAAAGCGGCACATGTATTTTATTTTATCCTTATATTTTTCATAGTGCGGTACAAGTGCTGCATGCATAAAGAATATTACTTAACACAAATTATTAGTATAATATTTCGACCCCACTATTTGAAATTCACAAAATACTTATTTAATTATTTCGACCAAAAATCATTGTTTTTTACGTTCGTAGTAACGTAGTACATTCCATTGTCGGTCACCTGTGTCAATTCACGTGCACACAACAATTGTTGTTGTATTTAAATCTTTCGGCCAATGAAGTGAGACGTTACAAGTTGTTTGTTTGTGATACGCCAGAATGTTATCAATGAATTATCAATCGCTAAACTTGACTGCATTTCAGTGTAAACGTTCTTTACTTGTGTTTTCGTTATGTTTTGATAATCAATTTTTATGACATCGCACGTTCTTTCAACAAAAAAAAAAAAGGATTTAACTGGCTTTAAAAGTTACAATGCATGTGTTGATTATTATCTTTTTTTTCAGACGTCAAAGCGATTTAACAATTGCGGTTGCATGTCCAATTATGTCATCTTTTAACTTTTATCTGGTCAAAATTTTATTTTAGAACGAATGCATGATCAACTTTAAAAAGTGTGCGTACACAAAACATATAGACAAAATATACTTCTGTCCTGTCTTTTTCGTACTTGCAAGTTATTAGACAATAAAAAGGCTATTTGGATCAAGCCTTGTGGAATTTGCATTTACGTTTTTGAATAGGTAAAATGTATAGTTTGGTGAACTTTTCTGCTAACTACTATACTTGTGAAAAACCCTTGGCAACAGAAACATTTTCAGCTTTTTTTTTAATCGACCCAATTTACATAGTAATGGACGACTTCGTACATTTTATGATCGCAAATAAAATATGTATATAATATACTGTGCACTGTAGTTCGTATATATACTGAAACCCTTTGGCAACCCCACAGTTTAAATGTTTATAATAAATACGTCGTGAGTTGTGGGCGTTACAGACGAACGTTCACCTAATCTGACCCAGTCAATGGGATATTTTAGCGCGCCAATCAATGGTCTCGCCTACACTGTTTTGCACATGATTCTAATTATTTCCTTGCAATTGCATACACTTTGCAAACATTTGTATCTATGTTTGTTCATGCATTAATGGTTTAATATGTTTATATTTGTAATATCATGCCTAATGTTAGGCCTTTAGTGAAATATATAATTTCAAACTTTTCAGGTTATATTTAAATATCCACTAAATGTTTGCCATGAGCCTTGTTATACCTACGCCTTTGTCAAATTAAAGCGGAATGACTGTAACAATATGTCTATTCCTCGCCGATAGTTTAATAACAATAATGTGCATTAACGCTCCCTATGAAATCTGTTTATTTCTAATAAAATGCTCTACGCATCTTAGAAAAAAAACCATCAAAGAATTGATGCAATTTTGAGACGTCGATGCAACATCATGCGTTCAATGCCTTCTGGGTGAGATTCTTATCGAAAAACATAATCGCTCAAAAGGCAATGTGTCCAATCATTAACGGATGATATGAAACGCTATTAACATTTCAATTTAATGTTTTTATTTCTTTTTACATGTCTAACAGCAGAAGCATTTTTTTTAGAGCATTTCGTTTTAGTGTACTGTATTTCATTATTTTTTATGTTACTTTTTATAAATTAATTGTTTTTTAGCCACGTTATTGTTCAAAACGATCTTTTTCGGTACGGTCTCGTCTTGAATTTTAACTTAAAATTATCATTACAGATAACCTAATGAAAGAAATATAGGAAAATATGATTCTTAAATACATCGGCAAAATATCAAACATTTCCAAATTATTATGCTATAAACGTTGTAGCCTAACATGAAGAAACCCTTGACGAGGATCTTAAGTTTTGAATTGAGTAATATTAAGGAGATCAAAACCATTAAAATGTTATTTGATTCAAAAGAGTTTTCAACTTGATTTCATTTTCGAATATTTTGAACAGTTTGAAGTATTGAAAATATGATAATAACACATACACACTGCTATTGCTACAGCGATTTTCATATTTGATATTTCAGTTATTTGCTTGTAACATCTGTTTGGAATTTCAAATTCACGATGGGTCTCTCATTGTTGTTGTCCCTCGTGCGATGCTTTGCGGGGGACATGGAAATACAGGGCGTCCGTCCGCTTTTATTAGCGCTCTCACGTGTACAATTTTTGCTACAATTTTCCGAAATTTATATCAGCAATGGATGGGATAAGCTCGAAAATCAGTGCCAATCAAGTATTTTTCAAAGAGTTATACTCCTCGAAAAAATTTATCATATAGAAAATTGCATTGCAAGCGACCTCAACCCATTTCTCATAGAAATTTATAAAAATATTAACAGAACAACAGTTTATTCTATTTTAGTTATTGCACTTGGACTGATAAAATATGTGCATTGTGGGGGACATTTCGAACTCTGTTCTTGTATTTGGTAAAATATACACACAGACACGTATACATACATTATATCATTATATTTTATACAATTATAGCCATTTGATGAGGTCATTACATTGTTTTATCAACACATGAAAGTCCATACTTTCATGATAGATAAAATCACGTGTTGGTTGATCTGTAAAACTAAACTTGTTTTAATACAACATCAGACTATCAAATCGTCTGACTTAATTTTTTAATTGATTTTGAACGCATCTACTTAGTAACCAAAGTTAAATGAAAGCTCGTTTTTGATTGGCCTTGGCTTAAACTCATAATCAACCTTCATTCAAATGCTAGCAATTAAAACTGGATTTTATAATATTTTATTTCAATTTATCAGGTTATTGCGACTTTTTTAGCATATGCTTTTAATATACCCATGCACTACGTGTTTTATAATACAAACACGAGACATGAATGGAGAAATCACAGCTTTAGAAAAATATGACATTAAAGTAATAATTAATATATTAATATATTTTGATTAAATTCCCATTGATGGAAATAAACTACAACAATATTTAGTCGAGTTAAAAAGGAGTAATTAAGACTTTCTTTATACTTTAGGAGCCAAATCATAAACCTCCGTTGCTACAATGTAACATAAAGTTGGATTTTGCTATAATGTTGGTCCTTTCTTGTTTTATCTATCAGCTCTTCAATGTGTATATTAAGGTTTGGATTTTTAAATGTTTTGAATCGAGCATCACTGAAGAGACATTAAATGTCGAAATGCACATCTGGTGCTGAAAAAAGTGTACCGTTCATGTTATGGCTTTACTTATGCCACATGTTAGATCATTAGACATTAAAACTTGTCTGAACATCTTTATGCTGAAACTCAATCGTTTTTTTAAAGCATAATGCACCTCATTTGGGTTCTCTGCAAAGATAGATTATTTACATAATAATTTATTTCAGGAAATGGACACAAGTAAACTAGTTGTACAATTGGCATAGTTAAGTGAAGTATGTTTTATTTATTAATGCTTTTTTCATGTAATATACATGTATGACCACTGCTTCAACGCTGTTTAATAATCGTGGCTTAAACAGCTTTTCCAGGATCCGACAATGTTACGACTAATCTCTTCCTTTCATCATTCGTGCCATCATTCATTTTTGAAATTCTAAGTGATTGTGTTCTGTCAGAAGAATTGAATGAATTTTTCATCTGCAAATGAAAGAAAAAAACAATTGATGTATATATTCAGGCAAGAAGAAGTATATCATCACTACATTGCTTTTGAACAAAAGTTTACATCCGATTTTTACTGGGGTTCGTGTTCCTCAATCATAGATTTTCTGTATTATGTTTTTTTCATATAAAGTGGTAGTTGTCGATTCGCCTGTTTTAATAAGGCATTGGTGTTGTATATAAAAACAACTCTTCTTCGACCTATTGATTTTTGTTTCCCTTTAAGTATCTTCGTCTTGTATTAACAAAACTCCAATATAATTTGATTTATTCAAACAATGTTTAAATAAATGATAAATTTTTAGTATCGGCATTTAGACACAGTAAAAATTATTATCATATACTTAGAGTAAATAACTTATAGTTTTTACAGTATGATAATAGCATTAAATTTACGTGAATTCCATATTTTCCGTAACGGTGCTTAGCGGGGTGATATGAAAAAATTATCAACTGCTTCCGGCTATTATCGCATGGCATTCCGCCGTTACTCGGCAAATTCCGAAAAATACACCTCAATGGTACGTTTTTAGTGAAAAAACATAACAAAGTAGGGTACAAAACAAATATTAGGCAACAGGAAAATATATTATAACCTTGGGCTGATGATACATTGATATGAAAAATGCCATGTAATAATCTGATAATATATAATTAAAAATATTATCAAAATTACCTACCTGTCGCCTATTAGTTATACTCGAAAATTGACATCGGGCTAGCTTTGTCAGAAACTCTAAAAATCCTCTGTGCATAAAACAGTATAATATAGGATTTTGTGCACTATGAGAATGTGCTAATAGCAAGGCAAATGGGTATAACTTGGCAAGAGTATGTCGAAACTCCTCATAGAAATCAGTCCCTATAATGATAATAAAATATGGTAGCCAACACAATGCAAACAGTATAGAAATTATTATCATCATTCTGGCAAGTTTTCTTCTACTTGCCATTACTTTAACATCGTTACTTATAACAGAATTAGCACGATTCAGTGCGTGATTTTGTCTGCAAAGGCTGCAGCCAATCAAAGAATATAGAGCAACAACAATAAATCCAGGAATTATATAAACTATAAACAACAAAAATACATCATAAGCAGTTTTATCCGAATGAGATGGCCATGTTTCCTGGCAGGTTTCACTATGAAATGATGTCATTTCCTGAGTTCCATTGAACAAATAATCTGTATTATTAAAAACAAATACGTGTTGATCTACGACTAATCGCTTATAAATGACCAAAGGACACATTGTGATTATTGCTAATATCCATGTTACTGCTATAGCAACTTTAACGTTGAATTCATTACATATTCTGCGTACTTTCATGGGGTGTCGAATTGCAAAATATCGTTCTGTACCCATACAAACAATGGTTAAAACACTTCCTTCTACCGATACCCCTGAAAAAGAAAAAAAAATGAAACATCCTTCTTAGTTTTATCGTAATATAAACAAACATGAAGCTTTTCTAGAAAGACTTGGAATTCAGTCATATTCGTACTTTATTTGGCCTTTTAATTTTTTTTTCTACTCGAACATCACTGATGAGTTCTATGTACACGAAATGCGCATCTGGCGTACACAATTATAAGCCTGGTATCTTGAATGAGTTTTTGTTTAAAAATCCAGAGTGTTAAAATGAGCAAAGATTATCCCTGATCACCACTGATATAATTGCAGAGTCTTGTTAAGATAAGTTGAATTTTTAATTACTGAATTAAGTGAAGACCATAAAGACTTTTTCAATATATTCTTTATACAGTTTTTCGTCAGAAAGTTTAACATTATTTATACGAGTTTTAGGAGCAGGAAGCAAAATGAGGCTCACAAAACTTTTGTCATATTTCGTGGTGTGAAAAAAATGGTTTTTTTTTATATTTGCCTCCCGTGTTCTCGTATTGTTTTACCTTCACCTAATATTTCCGATGAAACAACATGTGTTTGATATTATAATTCCTAGGAGTTGTCTCTGTAGTTTATGGAAATCTACATCACTTTTACATGGACTGCAAAGAGGACACCTATAGCTGAGATGTGCACAATAGTTTGATTATTACTTTTCGCTCATAACATAAGCAAGACACCAAATTTCTATTTGTATTACCTGAATTCTTTAAGACACCTTTATGTCTATAGTGAAATGCCAGATATCAGTTCTGAATGAAAACGAATCAAATAATGAAAAAGAAAGTGAATATAACGTATCCTTCAAAATTTCAACACTTAACATTAATGAAGCATGTACATATACAGGAAGATGCCATTGTGAATTATATTTTGTGTGAAAAAAGCAAAACAATGCATTTCTCTCTATATATGTCTTCTTTCTGTGTGTAATATGGCAATACTTATATAAAATTTTAGGGTGAAAAAAAAAACTGTATAGCAAGCATAAATGTTAAGCTAGTTTTATTTGAAGCAATATCAAAAGAAGTAGAAGTAAATACAATGTGTGATATATCTATTTTTGTTGATAGATTGAAATTTTGCAGTAAAATATTTCAATTGAATTGGTAATATTTCTGTATGATATTGAAGAGATACGGGATTGTACGAGGTCATTGTTTCGTGTATGTGCGTCAAATGGAAACAGGTGACCTAGGTACCTGATGCATTGATTTAATTCATATGATAACTTTTATAAACTAATAAACCTCTTAAAGATTAAATATACTTTAAATGAGATAAATATAATGTATTATACAAAGAAAAATACTTGTAGTGATCAGTTTTATTTAAAACATAGATTTTTAGATAAAATTTTATGTCTGGGTCCTAAGTAGGGAGATATTTTGCTTTTATTGAACATTTAATATTATAACTATTATAATTATAACGGCTTTTTAGATCATAAAGCTCCTTAAGTATTCAAGACTATTTATACATTCTTTCTTTAAATTAAAGCTTTGAGCTTTCCTGATTTAGGCCTATGATAACATCAGAAAGTCGCTTCGTACGCACCAAATGTATATAGTGTTGTTTTCGTTTTGCATGATAATATACAATTGTCAGGAAATTCTTTAATCATTTTAAAGGCATTTTCGAATTTACTATTTTTGCTCTTAATGGTTAGAAACAATTATGTAAAAACTAAAATATCAGTAAAAAGCTTAAGGTGGTACCCAACACCTTGACTAATATTAATTTTGCTCGTTTAATTTTCATAAAATTTTGACAAAATGTTTACTTTGACCCTTTGACAAAAATATAAAAATTTCAAAAAATTTGAACCAACCACTTTATCAGAAAAATTTCATTGGTTATATAGCAGTTTGATAAACACCAATTTTGATCATTGAGAAGCTTAATATTTCCTTAACAAAACAACGTAATTAAAACGTTTAGCTGATTTTTACAGAGTTATCTCCCTGTAGTGTTAGGTACCACCTTAAAGAAAAAAAACTGTACTGAAATTTTTCCCCAATGGTTAAATGGGGTATAAATTGCCCTTGAACAAACTACATCAAATATTTTTTTCACTCTGGTAATTCCGTTTGAATTTTTTTTTATATTTGACATTGTACAAACAATGATGTCTCTTGTCTGGTAAGACAATGTATGTTTATGGTGTATGATGGCCTCGAACTATAAAAAATAAATCACGTTTTTGAAGGAAAAAGATTATACTACTTTACTGAAGATTTCAGTCATAAAACATAATTAAACATAATAATCTATGATGTACTTTCTTGTAGACGAGCTCGTTCAATAATTACCTCGAGGAACTTAACATTGTTATCCGATAGGTCGTGATAAAACAAAGAAACCAAACATCTTAATGCTTTTAGTACCTTTATTGATGGGATAATTGTACAGTATTGACTTTCACCAGTCTTTTTATTCATGCTCATAGGAATCATCAAGTTCGTAATTATTCGATGAAAGATCATTTAAAAGTCAACGACTGGGTCTTCGCGTACAAAAGCTTTGGTCAATACTTATATCATTCACTAGAAACTTATGTTTGCAAGAAACAAACAATGAATTTATAGAGGACTGCAAAACTAATTTATAACCATTATTTACTGACAAGGGCAAACGATACAGAAGAGAGATATGACGTTGAGATTTCCTTGAAATATTGACAAAAATTCAATTTGGTATACAATCTCGAAATATACAAAGAAAACTATACCTTCATGATTTACTTTTTGAGATATTAATGTTTGATTTTTGCATGTTTCATGTAAATTCACACAATTTTATGTTCCAATACTTTTCCGTAGAAAAACAGAACGTTCATACGAAAACAAATTATTTTCGCTCGGGCTTTTTAACTGTCATTAGCATTTCAGTTAAAAGAGCTATAACTACTGTGAAGGCAATTTTGTGCTACAACAAATACTTTCAGAAGAAAAACTATCGTTGATTTTTTTCTTTCTTCTAATTTTGAGATAACATTTCTGATGCAGTGCACACTTAATTGCAAAAGGAAAAAAAGCGTTTATGTACTTAAAAGCGTCAAATATATTCTTAATGCAACATCGTCGTGCAGGCATTCCCGCCGTTAATCACAGAATTTACGAATCAGTGACTTTTGTTGGAATTCATTGAGGATAAAAGTGATATTTCCCGCGGTAGAACTTACGGAATTCCATAAACTGCATTTTTTTACAATTGCTGAACCGATTTGATGACGTTTTTGTATTTTTTTCGATCAGTTTGCAATACTATTATTTGCAAGTCGAGAAAACAATGCCTTAGATTTGCCACATTATCATCCCGCATGCTACGCTATCATATGCCCTTAATTAATGTGATGATATATGAAAGGAGAATAAGTTAATGATTTTAGCATGTTTTAGATAAAATCACATAATTTTAAACTTCAATACTTTTCCGTAAAATAACAGTACGTTCAAATGAAAAAAAAAGTATTTTTGCTCGGACTTAAGTTTTTCACTAGGTTTAAAGTTAAATGAGATAAATATTTTGTGAAATGTTGCAATAATTGTTGAAAGCCTGATGAAATGTTGTGCCACTACAAACAGGTGTTAGTTTTTAATCAGATTGTATTTGTTTTTATATTTTCAGAATTTTTCGTAAATTATAAGTTCATTTTTCCACAAACGTAGTTTTTGGGTAGAAATTATTTTTGTGTCATTTACGAAATTAGTGATATACTTTTGAATATTGTTTGTATTCGGGTACACTTCCAAATTCACGAGGAAATGAAATTAGATAAAAAGGCCAAATATCTTTATATTAATTTTGTGAAACTGTGGCGGAATAAAACAAAAAAAATATCCATTATAAATTAAAACTCTAACAAAATACACAAGTATAAACACTACAAACCAGTAAAAGTCTGAAATGGCCTATATCTGTACTCGACTGTACTGAATTTTACTCGACCAGTCTGAATTGGTCTGAATTTTACTCGACATTACTCGACCCCAGTCTTAACCATACTCGACCGTACTGATTTGTACTTGACCCTTATCTTTGTCATTGAAAATAGTCTGAACTATTACTCGACCAGTCTGAAACAGTTTTAACCCATTCTCGACCTGTACTCGACCTATTTTTTCAGTCTAAATCATACTCGACCAAAGGTCTGAACAATACTCGACCAGTCTGAACCATACTTGACCAAATAACCTCTACTTTTTCTTAATTTTAGCTGTTAAAATTAATTTCTTTTTTTCTGACATGATAACAGCCACAATAAAATAAAGATATATATAAAAACATTTTTTTACATCCTTACATGATTCTCAGATTTATCAAATAGAGATAGTTAAATCAAATTAATTTATATAATAATTTAATTATATTAATTTTAAGTTTTAGAGTTTTGTTAAAAAAAAAAATCTTTTACCTAAAAACCACACCTGTACTGAGGGTAATAAAACCTTAATAAGGTGCTTCTTGATTGGCATGTGTTTTTTTTTTAAACTTAATTTTCCTAAATTCCTTAAGAAAAACTACATAGGTTTTATGGTTACATACAATAGTTATATAATTATCTTTTTAATGAGTTAACAACAGCCAAAAAATCACTAAGATTGTTTAACCTTATATTAGAAATATATCTATTCTTATTATAATTTGGGATATATTATATATAATATATATCAAAAAAGGATAAAAAAGTTAAAGAAATAAATAAAAAAAAAAATCTGAATAGTGGTAAAGTATAAAGTAAAACCTCCTTCTTGGGGCAAACTCATTAAAAAGTTCACACCTGATCAGAGAGAATTAATTTCTAATTAACATTCAGTAAAAATTGCAACATCCTGTAAAACTTAAATCGCAAGGCCTTTTAAATTCACTAGATAAGTAATACACGAGTTTAAGAAAAATAGGGCTTTCTTTTTACCTGTAAAACACACATGTACTGAGGTAATAAAACCTTATTAAAGTTCTTCTTGTATGCCATGTCTTTAATTTTGACAAA